GACACAAGAACCCCCGTGGACAGCCTCACCACACACGACACACCACGTATAAGGTGATCACAAGAGTGTACCTGCTCCGTTTGCACTTGCAAACTACCCCTCCCCTTCTGTGCAGCAATGCAGAAAGCTTAGCTGGTTGGCCTCTTGCCAAGGGGAGCTGGCAGTGAACAGCTACTTAATGGAAAGGCTTTGGGGCCCATTGTTCACACGGCTGAGAGAAAGGGACATTCACGAGCAAACCTGTGACTCAGGGGTCCCAGATCCTTCAGTCATGGCACATTCTATCCTATATTGCATCGTTTCCCCTCACCTCAGTTCACCTGGGGAAAACTAGTCTTTTTCTTTTATTGTGAGTTTTCTTTTTTTTATTCAAATTCTTTATTGTTTAAAGTATGACATATGTCTCCTTTTTCTCTCCCATGGACCTCTCCTTAGCCTCTCTCACCCGCCAGCTCATGCCCTTACCCCCTATTGTCTGTGTCCACTGGTTATGCTTATATGCATGCATGCAAGTCCTTTGGTTGATCTCTCACCCCACCCCACCCCCACCCCCGCCTTCCCTCTGAGGTTTGACAGTCTGTTCGATTCTTCTATGTCTCTGTTTAACTCAGTGGTTCTCAACCTTCTGGCCCTTTAAATACAGTTCCTCATGTTGTGACCCAACCATAAACTTATTTTCGTTGCTACTTCATAACTGTCATGTTGCTACTGTTATGAATCGTAATGTAAATATCTGATATGCAGGATGGTCTTAGGCGACCCCTGTGAAAGGGTCGTTCGACCGCCAAAGGGGTCACGACCCACAGGTTGAGAACTGCTGGTTTAACTGGATATTTTGCACCATCACATGCCTAATAGTCAAATGATGCATTTGCTTCTTTATATCTCCCTTCACACCAAAAGAGAGCTGTGTCCATCTATAAGAATCCATACATAAGACAAAAAGGCGCAAGAGAAATACAGGCAGTATTTGCAGAAGTAAAACAAAGCCTGGATTGGTTATAAGTCAGTGATGTGGCCCCAGGACGTTGCAATGGAAGGGAGCTCAGAGACGCTGCTGGGCAGGCTCTTGAGTCGGGTCCACATGGGCCATAATCTTTACAGACTTTGTTACTTCTTTTTAAAAAAATATATTTTATTGATTTTTTACAGAGAGGAAGGGAGAGGGATAGAGAGTTAGAAACATCGATGAGAGAGAAACATCGATCAGCCGCCTCCTGCACACCCCTCACTGGGGATGTGCCCGCAACCAAGGTACATGCCCCTGACCGGAATCGAACCTGGGACCCTTGAGTCTTCAGGCTGACGCGCTATCCACTGAGTCAAACCGATCAGGGCAAGACTTTGTTATTTCTGCTGCCTTTGCATAGAATTCAGCGAGGGCATTTCAAACACAGATTAGCTCTTCCTATTGAGAAGATTCCGTTTTCTTAAGTAATCAGAGACCTGGTTAAGACACCCTAAAAACACGAAAAAATTGTTTTTGATAAAACACAAAATCTTTGCTTTCTAAGCAGACCACGTTGCACAATATCTTATCAGGAGCTGACCAGTAGTGCAAGAAAACTGTCTTTTCAACAGAGAGACAATCAAACATTCATCTGGCATCAGCTTTTGATATTTAGATTCACTTAATTAAATCCATTCCTCTCTTATTCAGCTTGATCCCACATAAAATTTCATTTCCTAAGCTTTTTATGACTTTCTTTGCCCCTTCTAGTTTGTCTTGTTCTCTTGCCGGTTCAGAAATAACCAGGACAAATTACTTCATTTCCAGCTGGGATGGCAGGTCCCTGGGGTATCTAATCTGCAGGGAGGATTCCCTGGGGAGAGCAGGTGCTGGGCAGCCTTGCCTCACCATAGCCTCCCGGCCAGGGCAGATCCCACAGCTGGCTCTCCCCTGGTGCCCTTGAGCTCTGTGCCTGTATATACCCCCCACCCCCCAACTGAATGGACATGTGAGGCAGGCAGCTGACTGGGAATCCCAAGGCCTGGGTTCCAGTTCGCACTGGCCATATCACTTAGTAATGTGTGGCTCTGGCCACAGCTTCCTCATCTACAAAAATGAGAATAAAGGAACAATGTGGCTCAAATACAAGTTCCAGTCATGTAAAAGGCTCTGAAAACTTCAACGCACTGTCAATGGGCAGCGTTGTTATGACTTACTAGAGGCCCAGTGCACAAAATTCGTGCACTTGGCTGGGGGGTCCCTCAGCCTGACCTGTGGCCTCTTACAGTCCAGGAGCCCTCGGGGGGTGTCCAACTGACAGCTTAGGCCCACTCCCCACGGGCAGTGGGCCTAAGTCGGCAGTCAGACATCCTTAGCACTGCCGTGGAGGCAGGAGAGGAGGAAGAGGCTCCCGCCACCACCGCTGTGCTCGCCAGCCATGAGCCCGGCTTGAGGAGCACACTGACAGGGGGCAGCTCCTATGTTGAGCGTCTGCCCTTTGGTGGTCAGCGTGCATCATAGCAACCGGTTGTTCCACCATTCAGTCGATTTGCATATTAGTCTTTTATTATTTAGGATTAGTATCCTGTGTGCATGGTGACCACTCTGGCCTTTGTTTTTTAGGGACAGACTTTGTTATTTCTGCTGCCTCTAGGAAGGGGTGTGGCCATGTGCATTAAGAGGTGGACACCAAAATGGGGAGCCCATGGGCAGCATGTCTGCAGAGCTGGGCGTCCTGAAATGCCACTGACCTCAGGCAGCCTGAGACTAGAGGTCACACTTGGGCACTAGGTGGCTTGGCTGGTGCAGAGGATGCCAGGGGTCGGGCGCAAAGGTGCGAGGCAGCCTGAGACCACAGGAGAAGACCCTGGCCCCCCTGGGAACTCCCCGCTCTGGCTCTTCCTTCAGTTGGTCTGAAAGAAATCTAAGAAGCTGGCACTAAATTGAAGCTTTGAAACTGAGAGGTAAGACCCTCTATTGTACCTACTTTATGAACTTGAGTTCTGGCTTGCCCTGACCCCCAGGTATAATCAGTCTATTAATATATTTACTGAATGCTGACATAGAATCAATACAAACCTGAACAATTAAAGTACTAACAATCAGATTGGGAAGATTAAATACAGGGAGAATGCATGATAGATGGATAGACTAGATAGATAGATAGATAGATAGATAGATAGATAGATAGATAATAGATAGATAGATAATAGATAGATAGTAGATAGATAGATAGATAGATAAATAGATAGATGCATAGATACATAGATTAATGGTAGAGCTAGAGATAAATGAGAGATTAATGATAGATGATAGATACTTGGATAGATAAGTACACAAATGAGAAGATACTAACAACATCAGGATAAAAAGAACAATCTATTGAGCATCTACAATGTGTCAGGTGCAACGTGCCAGGTAGTTTCAGATATGCTCTCACACCTGTCATTCCTGAACTCTCGCCTTAGCACTGTGAGAAATCATCGCCCCGCTTGTCAGGTAAGAAGCCGAGGTCCCGAGAGGTTAAATAACTTGCCCAAAGCCATCCAGCTGGCCGGTCCTTGTTCTTTCTTCTCAGTCTCACTGTTCCTGAGTCAGAAGGAGTCCCCACCTCCCCCTCCGCCCTGCCCACTCCTACCTCCCAGCTCTGAACTGTATTTGTTTCTTTTGAGCCTTTGTTTCATGGAAGAACATCTTGAAATTCTGAGGAAAACCCCAAACCGCTTCCCATTCGCTGGGAACCTGAAACCGCTCCTTAGCCGGCCTGTTCCAGCCGCCTTGCCTTCCGGGTGCCCAGGGTGCCCGGGTGAAGCTGAGGCCCCTCAGGAGGCATCAAAGAGCTTTCTCTTCAGAGCCAGCTCCCCACCAGCCCGCACAGAAATGCCTGCGAGGCTGGCCCGGCTCCAGGGCACACTGCAGAAACTGGTTGGGGCCCAAGGCGTCTCTGGAGCATTGTACACGAGGCCCAGCCCTCCTCCTCCCTCCTTTTGCTTTCTGCAGCTCCATTCTCTCCCTCCACTTCTCTCCCTGTCTTCCCACTTGGGCACCTCCAAGACCTGTGGGGACGGGGCTCTGGGCAGGAGCTTGGCCGTGATGTCAGGAGGGTAGGAGGCGCCGGGGTACATCTTGCCACAGCCTCAGCTCTCTCCTGGGCCCCGCCTCGGGACTCCCTCCCCGGCCCCCAGCTCTGGCCTCCGGGAATCCCTGTGCCTTCCCATGGGGCTGGAGCCAAGAGCTAGTTTCGAGTTTCGGGGCCACTGGCTGTGGTGACGGGAGGACTAGGGCTCAGACAGCACTGGTGACGGGCACTGTTGGAGCAGGACTGTTAGGAGGTTTGACTGCCTGTGGAGGATGGATGCTCCTAAGGGACTTTTCGGAGAATTAAAGAGTCCTCTGTGGGAGGGTTAGGGATGAGGAGGCGGAGGGATAGAGAAATCTACCAAATTGCTCCCAAAGTCTCTCCCACCTCGTCCTGGGCTGGCTGCTCAGCCTCTCTCCTCCATCCTCTTGGCCCCGATGGCTCTTTTTGAAACTTCCCAGCCTGGAAAGCATGTATTCCTGGGATCTGCAAGCCTCCTTTTATATAGACATTGCTTTCTGTTCATCCCCAACATGCTCTTACAATGCACAACCAGGACTCAGAATTTTAGAAATGGTCAAGTTCTGTCTCCGAGATGGGAAGCTGGGGACCAGGAAGGTGAATCGGATTACCCAAGACCATATATACTGCTAACGCCCATTCCATGGTATCAGGATAGAGGGGTGTCCTCCAAATTCAGCCAACCTGCGACCCATCTTCCAGGCCTGGTGGGTGGGGTCACGCACTTTATTTGACTTTCATGGGTCTTTGGTCTCAAGATTCTCTTCTATGGTCTGGGAACATGGCTGAGGCACAACCCCTTGGCAGCCAGCAGTCATAACAGGAGCTGAGCAATTCCCACAGACACCCAGGACTGGCTCAGAGCCCCACCCAGGGGAGGGGCTGCGGGAGGCCCCACCCACCTGCCTGCCTAGCTGGTCCTGCAGCTCCGTTTTCCATAGAGAAAGCCACTCCATCAGAGAGCGTCTGTTTGTGGGCATCCAAGAGGTCAGGGCTGAGGATGGGGAGCAGCTCAGGGACCCAGAAGACCATGCCCTGCCTGAAAGCCCGGCCTGAAGGCCCGAAAGACCTGCCCTAACACAGCCTCGGCACCTCTGGTAAGGGCTGGGCCCTCTTGGTGCTTGGAGGGAGGCGAGGGGAGGAGATCCGATACAAGCCCTTCTGGGACTGAGGGGAGGGGGCAGGACCTGGGATTTGCAGAGCACCGACCCAATATCAGGTCTCCCCGTTGTCTCAAGAACTACTGATTACTATCCCACTTCACACTGGGGACAATTAACCCTCAGGGAGAAGTGACACCAGCTCAGAGCAGGCGGCAGAGCCTAGATCCCAGCTCCTGGTCTGGCACTTGAGCCGCAGGTGCGTCCCTGTCTGCGCTGCCCGCGGGGGCACACACCGCACAAGGTGACCGTCTGATCTTCTCAAGGAGGACCCGTGGTGATACCGCCTCCCTCACCCCAGCCCCACGTGGGCGTCACTCCTGCTTCCCGACAAGGCTTCTGTCTATGCCGACTGATGATGGGAACAGTGGCCGAGTAGAGAGATGTCTGGGGGTCGCAGCATTCATGGGAGGGAGATTCTGGGGACAGGAGTGGAGACCCACACACATGGGAATGGCCTCTGCTTCTCAGAGCCAGTCCAGAGAAGGGTGCCATCAGCCGCCTGGGAGCCTGTGACGTCCTGTGTCTGACCCTGTCCTTTCTGAGGTGGCGCCCAAGTAAATGCCCTCAGAGTGACGCTCCTGACACTCGGCCCCTGGGTGGCAGCCTGCGCTGGAGGTCCCCGTGGAAGACATGAGAGGGAGAGGGGAATGGATACTCATGTGTGCCGAATACCCCGCCTCCCCCCCTCACCCCCATTTGTCAGATGGGAAAACCGAGGCTCTGAGAGGTTAAATGGCGCAGGTGTGTCTGAATCCAAAGCTCTGTTCCGGCGATGTCTCATTCATAGGAGGAGCTCGTTAAGCCTTTGGTCAATGGAATGAATGGATGGAGGAAGGCATGGAGTCACTCCCATGACCCTCTTTAATGCAATACTGGGACAGGATAGCCAGGGATTGGGGAGTGGACCGAAGGGAGAAGGTTTGAATATGATCATTGATAATGTGTTGTCTGTAGCTGGTATTTTTGATGAGTGAGAAGGAAAGGGCCGAGGTAGAGAAATATGACAGAGCGCAGAGTTATCGGAGCTTGCATATATGTTTTGTAACAATAAAAATATTTGAAAATATTCATAACTAGGACATGTGCTATATAAATGTTGGGATATTGAGCTCCTGAAATACCTCGCAGCCATGACAAAGAGAGGCAGAGCTCTCGGGACTGACATGGGGCTGTGTGGCTGGCATTGGGAGGGCCCGTGTGTCGTGGTTCAGGGGTTAAAAGTGCTGGGGTCCGCTTGCCGGGACTCAGTTGCCTCTCACCGCCTGTGCACCCCCGGGACTGTCTGTAATCCTCTCGCCGCCTCAGCCTTTTCACTTGAAAATGAAGAGGGTGGTAGTAACTGCTCAAAAGATTTGTTGTGAGGATGCGAGCAGTTCTTAGCACAGTGCAAGCACGCATTAAAGTATTTTTAAATGTTTGCTGTTATTATGAAGTGAAAAAAGTAAATAGCAAAAAATGCATGCTATCACCTCTCTTTTACTTTTTAATTTTTTCTTTATGCAAAAATATACATATATATATAAATAGACATGTGCATGCACAGATAAAATGCCCTCTACCAGTGGTTCTCTTGGAGGAGTGAGACTAGACTCAGCAGTGATGGCGAACCTATGACACGCGTGTCAGAGGTGACCCGCGAACTCATTTTTTGGTTGATTTTTCTTTGTTAAATGGCATTTAAATATATAAAATAAATATCAAAAATATAAGTCTTTGTTTTACTATGGTTGCAAATATCAAAAAATGTCTATATGTGACATGGCACCAGCGTTAAGTTAGGGTTTTTCAAAATGCTGACATGCCGAGCTCAAAAGGTTCGCCCTCACTGGACTAGAGAGAAGTGAGGGAGGGACTTACAGTGTTTAATAGACTTTAGCTTTTAGGGAAGTTTTAGGTTCACAGCAATATTGAGCCCCCACAAGCCCCGCCTTCCTCACTCTCATTTGTTAAATCCATGAACGCACATGGACGCATGGAGACTTCTAACTTTATTCATCTCTGTCCGGGTTTTATTTCTGCAATGAGCATGCATTGTTTTGTGAGTAAAATAATATTCTTTAGTTAGTGGCTGAGTCACAGCCTAAGCCCCAGAAAGGCTGGATTGTAGGAAGCGGTTGGGTTCACAGAGGTCACCGCAGAGGGGGGAGGGTCTGCCCTGGGCCTTCGGGGACCAGGCCTGAGCCCCGCCTCAACCCCACTCTGCTGTCACAACACCGAGCCATCAGGCTGCCTGCTGCTCTCTCAGAGGGGATCTGACAGCAGCTCCCAAAGGAGGCCAGGCCGGGGACATGCCTACCGGTCAGTCCTGGCCATGCACGGTGCTCGCCCACACCGCCCAGTGGCCTCAGGGCATCCCAGGAGCAGGCCCAGGAGGCAGCCAGGGTCCTGGCTCCACAAAGGAGGCGGCCAGCCCTGGACTCAGAGCTCCCCCTGACTTTCACTAGTGCAGTGCCCTTCCCAGAGCTGTTAGCTCGCGGCAGGGCAGGCACACCTCGGAGATGTCCAGAGTGGGGTCCAGCCCACCTCATTCGTGCTAGTATCGCACTAAAGTGAGTAAGACGTGTTTCCTGGTGGAGGGTCTTGCCTTCAATTTGTGAAAAATACAACATCTATGAAGCACAATAAGATGGGGTGGTCTGTACAGGCGGGAACCCGCCCAGCTCACCTGGCCATTGTGAGGACGGGGGAGACAGTCTGTGGGAAGCACCCCACTCATTCTCTGGCACATGGGGGGCCCTCGGGGGTTTCATTTCCTGTGTCCGTGACCTGCCTCACAGGCCCAGACCCTCAGATAAATAAGGGGACACCTGGAACAATCGGTTGTGGATAGTGGGGGGGGGGGTGTCCTTCCTGGCAGAGTCAGGACAAGGACGGGGTAAGGACGGTCTCGACTCAGGACAGGCTGGGCCAGCTGCCTTTCTGGTGCCGTGAGCCGCCCTCTGAGCAAGGTCTTGGCCTTTCGTCGAGTGGGATTTCAAATGTGATCCTCCTGCCCTGACCGGTTTGCTCAGTGGATAGAGCGTCGGCCTGTGGACTGAGGGGTCCTGGGTTTGATTCCGGTCAAGGACATGTGCCTTGGTTGCTGGCACATCCCCAGTGGGGGGTGTGCAGGAGGCAGCTGATCGATGTTTCTCTCTCATCGATGTTTCTAACTCTCTATCCCTCTCCCTTCCTCTCTGTAAAAAATCAATAAAATATGTTTTTTTAAAAAATAAAATAAAATGTGATCCTCCTAAAGGAAGTCATTCGGGGACATGTGGGAGCAGGAAGTGTAACCAAAGGTGTGAGCGAAGCTGCTCCCCACACCTGGTGAGAAATGCTGCCACTGGCGATGCCCAGGCGAGAAGCTGGGCTGAGAGGGGGTGAGCCTTTTGCACTGTCTGCCTCCCACCTGCCCCCCTCTTTCCGCAGGTGATTCCTCCTTGGGCTCCTCTCTGCACACGCGGCTCCTCACCATGAGACAGAGTCTCCACCTGGCCTGGCTGTGCCTGAGCCTCTTGGCCGGAAGGTGAGCTCTGCTTCCCCAAGTGGCCTTGGCCTGAACTGCTCTGTCTGTGCACGGAGGGGGTGGGGGGCGGGAGGGGCGGCAGCTCCTGGCCCCCCAGGACGGCCTGCCATCTGATCTCCCTGGAGAACGTGGGCTTCCAAAGTGCCCGAAATGGACAGCGCCCTGGTGATTACTGGGAAGACACTTGGAGGGCCCCCAAATCACCACAGCAGGGCAAGTGGGCAATAAAATGGAGTGGGGTAGGGCCACGTCCAGTGGGCAGCTGAAAGGTAGAGCTTTCTCTCTGGGAAAGTCACAGCTGGAACATGGGCCCAGACATGTACATGCAGACACAGCTCAGGCTGGCGTACACATTATTCACATGTAAGCAGGCGTGTGCACGAAACCTGCTTTCTTTTCCAGGATGCGTGTCCAGGGGAGCCGGCTCCCCAGGGAGGTCAGCCGAAGCGACAAGCTCTCCCTGCCCGGCTTTGAGAACCTCACTGTCGGATATAACAAGTTTCTCAGGCCCAATTTTGGCGGTAAGTCATCCTTTTTGTCCAGGACATCAATTCAAAGGACAGGAGCCGAGGAGGGCTCGGGAGGGTTGGCTGACTGTCTGCCGACCTGCGGCCCGTGGGGATTGGCAGTGATGGATGAGCGCAGCCACAACGAGTTTTCACGCGACCTTGGAGACCGAACTTTGTCTCCCCACCTGCAGCCTAAAGAAATCCTCCTCCTCGCTAGGGAGGTTGTAGAGCCGCCTGACAACCTCTCACTGTCTGCCTTCTGCCCCCACTTCCGGTGTCATTATTCAAGGAATCTGCCACGTCTCACCAGGACTAGTCCACCTGGTCTTCCCGCCTCTCACCTGCCCCTCAGGGCTACCCTCCACTCGTCAGCATGAAGCCCAAAACCCTTTGCGTGGCACACCAGGCCCTTCCCAGCCCAGCCTCGATCTGTCTGCCAGTCATAGCACCTCTAATTCCACCCCCTGTGCCCTCCACACAAGTGTGCCCCAAATGCTCCCTGACCTCCGAAGCCTCCCTGGACTCCATGCCTTTGCTGAAGCCATTTATCTGCCAAGAAAGGCTTCTTCCAACCCGACTCCCTGGTAAAATGCCAATTTTCTTTCAGGTCTCAGATCAAAGGCCTCCTCCTCTGAGAAGCCTTCCCTGATTCCGCCAGGCGCCATCCCCTTTCTTCACACTTTATTTTGAACATAACTCCAAATCATAGCCATTACCTGGTGACGCTGTCACTGTCGCTGGGTTTATGCCTGTCTCAGCTCTGGGCTGCAGCCCCTGGGCGAGTCTTGCTTTATTTACCTCACTAACCCCGCAGCAGCTCAGGGCTTGACATAGAGGACGTTGTTAATATTTGTTGGAAGAATGAGGCAGCAGGGGGGTAATGAGACCAACTGCACAGCTCTGCACAGGTCTCGGTCTCTATTTATAAAATGCGAGACCGGACCAAGGTGGTCTCTTGCCTCGCCGCACAGAGCAGAAAGTAGCAGAGAGAGCCTTGGACTTGAACAAACCTGGGTTTGGCTCCTGGCTCTACTGCACCTTCGCTTCCTGAGCCTCAGTGTTCCTTTCTGCAACCTGGGGACATGTCAGGCACCTGCCAGGGAGGATTGAAGGAGGTGAAGGGTATACACACGAAGCACGGTACCTGCCAATCATCGGGGCGCAGTCTATTTTAATCCCCGTTCCTTCCTGCTCCTCCCGTCAGGCGATGACATTCTCTGGGCAGGTCTAGGATGAGTGGGTTAGTCCAGTCCTCTGCGAAGCAGAGACTGAGAGGGGACCAGCTGTTTAAGACACTATTTGGCAATATCTGTGAAGGAATATAGGGTGGGAAAGGGGGAAGCTGGAGAGTCATCAGATTGCAATACAGGTCTGACCCCGGGGTCGGAGGGAAGGAGGAGAGGAAGGTAGGAGGAGGTATCTTAGCAGCGGAGTTCCCAATGTGCTTGGAGAGGCCACCAGCGAGTCCATGAGCCGAAGTTCCCATCAGAGGAGTCTCCCGTCCCTGTTCTCCCAGGAGAGGCCGCCGTAGGCCCCCTGCGGCGCTCAGTCCCTCGCGGGGCAGGCCCAGGGGAAGGGTGGCCTCGGAGAAAATGCCATCACAGACTTCAGAGCACAGCAGCTGGCCCTTGGTCAGTTACACCCCGTGAGTAAGAGATCTGACCCATGTTCCTGGCCACACAGTCAGGACCTGAGGTCCTTATGTGAAGGGACCCAGGGGGCTCCCACCTCCCCTGGGTTTTCCAGGCCCAGCCGAACCCTAACAACAAGCAGGTGACTCTGACACCTGGTTAGGTCCACCCCTCCATTTCTCTGCCTCCCGAAGCTGTTCGGCCAGGGCCCTGCTCTTCCTGTTGCCTGCTCACCGGCCAGCAAGATGTCAGGTCCTTGGGGAGGGTGCCCATTCTGCACCTTGATCAAGGGCACATGAGGCCCAGGCCCTCCTCTGGTGAAAAGCACACCCCAGCCCCTTTTCTGTGCCTGTGGCACTTTGGCTCCTTAAGGATCCTACATTCCCGGGGCAGCCTGGGGCCCTTGGCGGGGTCATTGTTCTCTGTAATGTCTGTCCATCAGGTTCTAAAATCCCAAGGTCTTTAAGACACAAGACCTGCAGAGGATTTTTCCGGGACTGAGCTGGACAGAGCACCCGTTTGCAATCAGGCCCTCGTGAGCACTGCCCAGGAACTGGCTCTGACCTCTTTCCTAGGAGAGAGCTGCCCTCTGGTGGCACAGCTTGTTTCGTAAGACAAGGGAAAGCAAGCAAGCGCTGGCCCACAGAAGCACCAACTGAGGCCAGGCCTGGACTAGACCGTCTAGAAACAAACTAAATAAAAACCGCAGTGGGGCCGGAGCTCTTGCGTGTTTCCCCGTTTTCCACGTGCCTCGGGGAAGGCAACTCACGCTGACCCAACTGGCCACTGGGTTCCAGGCACTTAAAACAGATCCGTAACCTTCCCAGCCCAACCCTTGCTGGTGGGCACGAGTAGCTCTATTTTACAGGTGAGAAACTGTAGCACAGAGAGGTTTAGCAATTTGCTCAAGGTCACACAGCTACGAAGTGGCCGGCATGGGATCCGAACACTCTGACTCCAAGTTTCTCTTCCTGGCGCTGCACCATGCTGCCTTGAGGGGTAGAAAGCCACCTAGCATCACACTCCTTCAGCCCCTTCCAGGGTCTGTCCCCAAAAATCTCCCCTTTTCTAACAAGTATTAAGAACAAGTATTATTAACTTCATTATTTTTTAATTGCGTTGGCTCTAAAACTCCATTTCCAAATTCCTACCTGCATTCTAAGGCTTGGGTTCCTCTGATGAAAAATTTGGTTGCTTTGTGTGATTCCCACTGATCAGATGTGTTTAAAGCTTCCCTGGAATTGCGCCTCTCCTCCTCCTGGTCACTGCATTGTCACAGTCCCCGGAGTCACCCCCGTTATTTATTGCAAGGAAATATTAGTGCAGCTATTAACCTGGTTCGTACACTTGTTCCTTTTCCAAAATTAGCTGGGATTACGGAAGGGGGGGCGGTGGCGGGGGGCAATGCCATTGACTGGGTGCCTATTATTACGTGACAGACACCATGCTGGGAGCCTGAGCAGATGACTATTTTTGAGTCCCTTCTGCACACCCAGCTGGGCATGCATTTGAGGTGCATTCCTCTTGTCCCCACCTTGCAAAGAAGCCATCACATGCCTCATCTCAGCCCTTTCATGACTCTATGGTGTTCCTGGTGTAACCCCCACTTACAGGTGAGAAAAGTGCAGTTCTGACGGATTTGGTAACTTTTCCCAGGTCACCAAGCTGAGGTCAAACTCACCGCTTTCTGACTTGCCTTGCAAAGAAGCCATCACACACCTAATCTCAGTTAGCCCTCTCCATGGCCTTACGTGTCCTTGGTGTTACCCCCACTTATAGGTAAGAAAAGTGGAGTTTTGATGGATTTGCTGACTTTTCCTGGGTCACCAAGCTGAGGTCAAACTCACCGCTTTCTGACTCCTGGGCCTTCCTCGCACACTCCAGGCTGAGGAGGAAACTCCCCTGGCCTGGCCTGGCCTCGGGCTCAGGAGCTGGGCCTGGCCCTCTCAGGGGTTTGGCCCAAGTGGGGAAGGTTCTGGGATTCTGACTAGTTTAGGGTTCCTGAGGAGCAAAGGAAGGGGGGGGTGGGGGAGAAGTACCATAGGTGCGTGAGAGCTCACGCATGAGTAGAGTTGCTAGTTGAAGGGGGGAAAGCTATCCATGCACCAATCCCCGGATCTCACTTACCTTTCTAAGCAATTAGTCCCTTGCAAGCACCATAGGAAAAGTCCTCCAAATACAAAATAGCAAGCACCACTCCAGCCTTTAAAATACGCACTAATGAGTATAGTGTGGTCTCCCTTATATTAAGCGAACGATATATTTGTGCATTTCTCTCATACAGAGGGAGGTACAGTCTACACGAAGTTTTCTCCTGAGAGGGGAGGATAGAAATTAATTGGTATTTTATCTACTTCTAGAGCAGCGATTTTCAACCTTTTTCATCTCATGGCACCTATAACCTAATAATAAAATTCTGCAGCACACCAAAAATATATTTTTTGCCAAAATAACAAAAAAAAATAGGTATAATTTTGATTCGTTCACACTAGATGACTATTGTTGTGTTGGCTGTTGTATTTTTTTTTTTTTTTTTGGCAAATTAAAGTTTTTTGACAATCTAAGGGAAGAGAGGTCAGTGCCCCTAACTGAATAGTCAGGTGGTATTGCATTTAAAACTTCTTGCAGCACACCAGTTGGCAATCACTGTTCTAAAGCATTTTAGATTTTCCAACAGTCAAGTGTTACCTTTGTAACTTTCTAATTTAACAAATAGTCTTGGGAAAAAAAGCAACCATGTTTGTTACATAGGTTGCTTGGTGTAAAAAAAAAAAATAGTCTTGGCCAGTGTGGCTCAATGGAGAGAGCGTCGGCCTGTGGACTGCAAGGGTCCCAGGTTCAATTCCAGTCAAGGGCACAGACCTGTCTGCCACCGAGGGGTCCCCCTCCTTGTGTTTTAAGTGGGGATGTGAAAACAGAACAGACTGACATAGGTGGGGACTGACCCCGAAACTCAGACTCTGGAAGATTCTTGTGAAACAGATCTAACGAGTATCGGAGGAAAGTGGACTCAAAGGCCAGGAGGGGAGAATCGAAGGAGTGGAGTGGGTACATTTAGTGCGGGATAAGAATCGGGGTTCCCATTCTAAAGTTACCACCTAGAATAAGGTGCTTCATTCTCTTACGGCCACAGGCCATGGCCCCAAGCAAACTGTACTCACCACAGTAGACCTATGTACTTGACCCCAGGGAGGGGGGAGGTGTGGAGAGGGCCACAGTGTTTGGACAGGTTCAAGCCTCAGACTAATAAGAGGGCACAGACCTCTCATGGCAAAGCCACGTGTAAGTCCCAGCTTGGAGGGCTATAGTTGTAAGCTTGAACCTATGGTCTGAACACATGGCCCCACGTGCCTGAGTGATGTGGGCTTGATAGAGTTCAGGTGCATGTAATTGAGTAGATTCGAAACCCACGAGAATATTGTAACCATGCCCTTACTTATCCTCGTGGAATCTGCTATAAAATAAAGAGACGGCTTACAGCCATGGCACTGTCTCTCTCCATCAGAGAGGGCAGCGTCCCACCCAGCCTCAGCTTTATTCTCTTGTCTGTCTTTTCTAATCCTCATCGCCACCTCTCAGGGTCACCCTTGGTCGTGCTGGCGCGGCACAGGGAGGGGAGTAAGACTTGACCCCTTCCGATTTCGGAATCGTTCTCTCGTCACCCATTTCTACCCCTCCCTACCCCCTGGCCCCCCAGGACTACACGGCCACCATCTACCTCAGACAGCGCTGGACGGACCAGCGGCTGGTGTTCGAAGGCAACAAGAGTGTCACCCTGGACGCGCGCCTTGTGGAGTTCCTCTGGGTGCCGGACACGTACATTGTGGAGTCCAAGAAGTCCTTCCTCCATGAGGTCACCGTGGGAAACAGGCTCATCCGCCTCTTCTCCAACGGCACAGTCCTGTATGCCCTCAGGTGAGTGGGCACCGCGACCTGGGGCTGGGAGGGCAAGCCGGTGCCAGAAAGGGCATAGGTTCATCTTGAGTAGCCGGGACGGCACTCCAACAGCCATGCTGAGGCCCCTTCCCACGCTCCTGCCCTCGTCCATCCTTGCCCCGAAGCCAGAAGGGCCTCCCTCCATTCAGGGTGGCTCCACCGCATCTGCTGAGCAGCGGCTGTGTGCCAGGCCCAGGCTGGACTCTGAAGAGACAGAGGGAGGAGACATGGTCCTGACACAGACACAGGAGCAAAGGGAGCCCAGGGTGCGGGGGCCCAGGCTTGGGATGATGTGAGAGGATGCATTCGCAGTACGCTGAGCTGAGTCCGAAAGTGCAAAAGGAAGTTAGCAAGGGAAGGAGGTAGGGGGACGGCAAGAGCAAACAGGCTGCCATACCAAGGCCTTTCCTTTCCTGGGGCTGTGGGGATGGGGTAGCTCCAAGATGCATCTCCACGTGTCCCAGTCGTCTTTGTACAGAGAATCCAGGTGCGGGGCCCCAAGGCCTCTGCCACTGCGGCCATGGGCTTCCCTTTGTCCCCTCCCCAATCCCATGAGGCCAAAAGATTCTCCCGGCCAATTGCTCATGAAGCCACTAGTCGGCTAAACCACAAAGGTGCTCCGGATTGCTGCACAAGGTCATCAATGAGGGCCGGTATGGAGAGTGGCTCATCACTGCTCATGCAAACCGAATACTCCCAGAGGCCTCGGGGAGAAGGCCAGGAACCAAACACCCCCCAAAAGAGGCTGGAGCTGTAAAACGAAGACTGAGCTAACCAAGTAAATGAATTTATGGATTATTCATCTCATCCTCCTCAGCTGCACTGACTTTTGCCAAGATCAGCCAAAACCCCAACTCCTCTTTCAAGAGGTCTAATGAGCCCTGACCAGGTGGCTCAGTTGGTTAGAGCATCATCCCCAATATGCCAAGGCTGCAGGTTCAATCCCCGGTCAACCAATGAGTGCATAATTAAGGAGAACAGCAAATCGATGTTTCTCTCTCTCCCCCTTCCTCTCTCTCTCTCTCTCTAAAAATCAATGAGAAAGCCAGGCTGGCATGGCTCAGTGGTTAAGTATAGACTTACGAACCAGGAGGTTACCATTCAATTCCCAGTCAGGGCACATGCCCAGATGGCAGGCTCGATCCCAGTGTGGGGTATGCAGGAAGCAGCCGGTCAATGATTCTCTCTCACCATTGATGTTTCTATCTCTCTCTCCCTCTCCCTTCCTCTCTGAAATCTGTAAAAATACATATTTTAAAAAAATCAATAAGAAAATTTTTTTAAAAAGAAACCTAATGAGACCTGTTCTTTGACCCCCAACTCCAACCAACATAATCAACATTAATGCCTACCAATGTCCCCCTTCCCTGTGTTCCCATAGATGTGTGTGCACGTGCAAGTGTGTACATGTGTCTGTATCGTAGCACATAACACATCTGTCATGTACAAGGGTTACAAATAACGGGTGATGGTTAATAGCCTGACTCTAGAGTCAGACAGATTTGGGGGAAATCGGTCCTGCTCTGGAAGCTTAAGGCAAGTTGACTCTTTGAGCCTCAGTTGTCTCAGCCACAGGAGAGAAATGATAATGGTTCCAGCTTCATAAAGCCGCTGTAGAAATGCAAAGAGATGACGCACACAACACCGTGAGCCCAGGGACTGGCTCGTGGTCGGTAAATTGCAGCTGTTGCTAGTCTCTCTCCCTTAATGGAGTGGGCACCATGCAATAATCATTTCCACTTTCCCAAGCACCCAGCACAGTGCTTAATAAATAAGGGTGCTTAATAAAAATGTGTGACACCGAAGAAAAAGGAAGGTAAAGGTCTGCCAATGGACTGTCCACTGGGAGGGCTTAGCCGATGTTTCATTGCACGTCTCTGTTTGTTGGTCCTTAAGAGCCACAGTGCCTGGTGCCCTGGGAAGCCTCCACTTCCTCTGCACGCTGGTCCCTCCAGGAGGGAGGGACCTCGAGAACTGGACAGCCTTCTAAGCGAGCTCCAGCCCCAGCTTTGCCTCTAAGAGCTGTGTGTGCCTGAGTGAGCCCCCGAGTCTGTTGTCAAATGGTGACGGTAGTGAGACAGTGATCTCTGTTCTAGCTTCTCCCGGTTTTTCGTGAAGATGAAATTTAATAACTAGATGCAAAAGCATCTCAAACAAGCCAATGAGTGGTTCTGTTCTGCAATGCTGTTGCACGTTTGCCTCTGGATTGCCAACATTCCAACTTCTTCCTCCCTTCTGGACCCCAGTGGTAACCAAGCCTCACAGGCATTGCTTAGCACAGAGAACCATAGGAAGGCTTCGAATGCAGGCTCCAAGTCACACACTCACTGTAGACTCGATGCGAAAGTCTTCATGGAGCGCCCTTAGAAGGAATGCATACTTTCTATAGCATCCTCATAACACTGTTCTGAACCTGTTCTTCCTTTCCTAGAATCACAACGACTGTGGCGTGTAACATGGACCTGTCTAAATACCCCATGGACACACAGACATGCCAGTTGCAACTGGAGGAAAGCTGTTATATGTCCCGCAGGCCCCCGGAGCTCAGATCTGTGTGTTCACAAAGAGTGTGCTGTACACAGTGGCCTTTCTTTTCTTGTTGATGATTACACCAGATTTGGCCCTTCTGACTGTACATCCAGAGAGATTTGGAGACTGCTCAAAGCCAAACCTCCCGAAATTACATATTTTGGGGAGGACCATTGTGCATTGAAAGAGAATAGTTCCACCTGAGAGTGGACAAGACAGCCAAGGAAAGGGAGGTCGGTAGGACTAGGAAGGGGACTCAGAATCAGCGAAGGCATGGAAGCCAGAAAGGACACAGCAGAGATTAGAAATGACAGATATACAAAGCAATCCTGACATTGATCATACAACTTCTTTCAACTTCTAAAAGAAATTGTTTGACATATATAAAGCTTAATGCAGTGATGCCGGTACGTGAGCATCTAACTAAACTGCAGGCTGGGGACCTGCTCATGATGAAAAACAAACAACTGCTCTGCGTTGATGTGCCTCAAATGGTGTTGAGTAATCACCATTGTTTCCTAGTGAACTTCTCTGAAATGCCCAACAAACTTGGGGGAGTGGTCCCTGTGATGGGTGTCCTTGGAAAATAGTGCCACAGATAGGAGTCATTAAGGCACCAAGGTGTGGCTTGTCTGAGGAGGAAAAACCCTAGTCACGCTGGAGACCAGCAGGCACTTCCTACATGAGGACACAAGTGGCCAACATCTAAGAACACGGCCATTATAAGGCAACAGTCATTTTTCAGAGACAGGCATTTAATTAAAGACTCAGACCGGCAGATTAATTGCCTTATTGATTAAATGTGTGCATAGCCTTCTTGGAACAATACAGCTATTTGGGGGCAGACTAGAACTTGAGGTTATCAAGATGGGAACTCCTTTTCCGCCCTCCATGGCAAAAGTAATTGCCCTCCATGTGTGGCTGTTCTCGTCTCAAATCCCAGCAATGAGAGTCCCCCGGAACCTTCAGCTCTCTGCTTGCACAGCTCTCTGCATCCCCATGAGCAGAGGGAATTGAGTGTTTATTAGCAGTTATTTGGGTACAGAAACCTCACCCAGGGTTTTGTCCCGAACGCGATCCCTAAAAAAGAATTGATACCATCCCACAAAGCAAACTGTCCAAGTTGGTATGACTCACTTTTTTAGATCATTTTCTTTTTATTTCTTTGGGATCCGAGGCCTATTTGGTCAGCTCCCTTCAGTAAATTTGGAGGTGTTTCTATAGGAAAGTCCACAGACAATTTCTACCTGGAAATCCTCTAAGACAGCGGTTCTCAACCTGTGGGTCGCGACTCCTTTGGCAGTCGAATGACCCCCTCGCAGGGGTGGCCTAAGACCATCCTGCATATCAGATATTTACATTAAAATTCATAACAGTAGCAACATTACAGTTATGAAGTAGCAACGAAAATAATTTTATGGTTGGGGTCACAACATGAGGAACTGTATTTAAAGAGCCAGAAGGTTGAGAACCACTGCTCTAAGAGCTCATGACTTCTTCCTTGCCCTTGGAGGGGAGGTAGATGCTTCTAAACAGTGGATGCTGTAGCTAAGAGTCCCCAAAATGCTAGCTCCAGCACTGGCATCCCATTCCCAGTAGCCTGGGAAAACGGAGGCCTGGGGAGAAGACCAGAATCGCTGGGCTTTCCCCATCACTGGCTGTGTGCCTTTGGGTAAGTAGAACGACATCTCTGGACCTCAGTTTCCTCATGAGTGAAGTGGGAAAAGCAATAGTATCTGACTCAAGAGCTATTGGTTAACAGCTTAATTGGGGTAGATTTACACACCATAAGATTCACCCATTTTAAGTGTACAATTCAAAGATGTTTGGTAAGTTTGCCAAGCTGTGCGACCACTGCAACATTTTGTTGTGAGAACATTTCCGTCACCTACAGAGACCTCTTGTGCCCACTTCCCGTCACTTTCATTGCCACCACCAGCCCCCAGGCTACCACTAATCTACTTTCCGTCTCTGAATTTGCCTGTTAGGGATATTTCACATAAATTGGATCAACACACTATGTGGTCTTTTGCATCTGGCTCCTTTCGCTTAGCATAATGTTTCTGAGGTGTCAGCGTGTGAATCAGTACTGCATCCCTTTTACTGCTTTATTCCTCGTGATTCCATACAAACACATACAAGCAGTGGGAGGCCCTCTGGCCTGCTCCACCTCCTAGCTGTGATGAGTAATGCTGCTATGGACACTTGTGTACAGTTGTTTTGTGAACATGCCTTGGTTTCTCTTGGCAGATACTTAGGAGTGAACACTAGATCAAATGGCAAAACATGTAATCCTATCCTATATAATAAATAGCTAATATGCTAATTAGACTGAACAGCAGAATGACCGTCCGGACGACCTTCAGGACGGAGCTGGGGCTGTGAGGGCCAAACCCCTTGCACGAATTTCATGCATCGGGCCTCTGGTATAATATATATCTCTCAACCATAAGATCCATCCCAATCTCAGAAAATGTAAAAAGTATAGCATAGGGAATAGACAATAATATTGTAATAACTACATATAGTGCCAAGCAGATACTAAACTTATTGGGGGATCACTTCATAAGGTATATAAATAGCTAACCACTATGCCATACACCGGAAACTAATATAGCACTGAATGTCAACTGTAATTGAAAATTTTTTTAAAAAATTAATCTGAAAAAATGAAGAAAAATAGAAATATCTACCATGCAAGTTTGTAAGAACATAAATGTTTCATAAAAGGCAGCTATTACTACTATTATCAACTCAGTTAAACTGCTTTGAGATTTCTCAAGTGCCTATGTTTATTGACATCAGTAAAGTGGCCCGCAGCGGGGTTGTTGTGTGTTGCATTTTTTGCCCACACGGAAATAGGAACAGACTGAGTTCAAGGCCCCAGGAATACTGTGGGGGGTGTCAGAATGTCCTGGAAGGCTCTACCCAGCATAGACCTTGTGTGTTCACACATGTCCAATAAGTACTTAAATAGTGAGTTCTGTGCTTAGCACTGAACCGGTTCTCAGTGGAAGGCAGCGTGCTCGCAGGTCATCTCATCCCGAGCAGACGCTGCAGTTACAGGTGAGAAACCGGGCCGCGTGTTACCCGGACTCATCCTTGGACTTGGCACCATCCAGACGAGCTCCCGCGGTCTCCGTAGCGTAGCGTTTCCCGGTCCAGTTTGGTCGCCACCTTCTTGCACTGACCAGGGCTCTGCTCCTCGCCAGGGGGCTACGACGGCAGCGACGTGGAGTTCAGCTGGCTGCGTGGCAACGACTCTGTGCGGGGCCTGGAGAACCTGCGGCTGGCGCAGTACACCATCCAGCGGTACTTCACCCTCGTCACCAGGTCGCAGCAGGAGACAGGTAACTCGTGGGACAGATTGTACAAAAGCAAAAGGACTGGGTCCGAAATAGGATCTCTTCTCCACTTCACCCTTTCGGGGCCTGGGAGCCCCTCTGCAGTGTGTGGGGCCCTGGGGCTTGGAATTGGTACTTTTACCTGCGCCACACCCAGGACTGAAACGGCCCCCAAGGGGCTCACAGTCTGGCGAGGTAGGTGACAAGGACACCAGAGTTACGTGCTGCGGGGATAATATGACAGAGAAAGGCACAGGAAGAGGATCATGGGGGGGGGGGGGACAGATTGTACAAAAGCAAAAGGACTGGGTCCGAAATAGGATCTCTTCTCCACTTCACCCTTTCGGGGCCTGGGAGCCCCTCTGCAGTGTGTGGGGCCCTGGGGCTTGGAATTGGTACTTTTACCTGCGCCACACCCAGGACTGAAATGGCCCCCAAGGGGCCCACAGTCTGGCAAGGTAGGTGACAAGGACACCAGAGTTACGTGCTGCGGGGATAATATGACAGAGAAAGGCACAGGAAGAGGATCATGGTGGGGGGGGGGGCATCAGCACCCCAGTAAATCCCACTTGACAACAGCATTTCCTTTCGTGAAAGCGATGGCCGTTCCTGATCCACTAGGTGTGGTGGACAGCAGAGGGCTTACTGTCCATACGGCCAAGTTCAATGTCCCGCGGGGAAACCACTGCCCTGAGAGCAGACGTGACCTCCTGCCCCTTGCTTACCCTCTCAGGAAATTATACGCGGCTGGTCTTGCAATTTGAGCTCCGGAGGAATGTCCTGTACTTCATCTTGGAAACCTACGTTCCTTCCACTTTCCTCGTGGTGTTGTCCTGGGTTTCGTTTTGGATCTCCCTCGATTCCGTGCCTGCAAGAACCTGCATCGGTGAGCAGCTCCAACCCGAGATGTCTAAGAGCTGGCTTACTAGGCCCCTCCCCTCCTCCTCTCCTTCTGCCACTGTTTTCATTGATGGTCACAGGGCAGTTCCCGGAGTTGGGTTTTTGAGGGAAATAGAGAGAAAGAAAGAGAGCGAGACGGAGAGACTACTCTAGGCGTAGTACATTTTTAAACTTAATTTTGTAGTGACAGGTAAGGGGATGTTGTGATTAGATGGCCTGTAGCCAATTATTTTGCATACTGACCAACCCCCTCTAATGAGAGGACAGAAGGTGAAACATTTAAAAAACCCCATCGCTCATATCTGTACAAAACGGACAATTCAACCCCGTTCCTGAAGGCTACGGAGTCTCCCGAATGCACTCTGTTCCATTTCTGGGTCCTGTGCCCACCTTGCCAAGTCCTGAATGGAGACAGTCTCCCAGGTAACGGTGGAAGGTCCCCTGGCCACTGGCATGGGAACATTGCCTGCCTGTTTTCCCAGGAGTGACCACCGTATTGTCAATGACCACACTGATGATCGGGTCCCGCACTTCCCTTCCCAACACCAACTGCTTCATCAAGGCCATCGACGTGTACCTGGGGATCTGCTTTAGCTTCGTGTTTGGGGCCCTCCTGGAATACGCAGTTGCCCACTACAGCTCCTTACAGCAGATGGCGGCCAAAGACAGGGTAAGAATTTTGAGGGCCCTATGTATGATTCATCACTTGTGCCATGGGCTGGTCGGTAGAGATGGCCTGGACCTGGTTACTCCCTCCCTACCCTCCTCCCCCCACATCCCCAGCCCCAGCCCATCCCCCATAATTCACTTTGCTCCAGTGACTCTCATCTTGTTCAGGTAGGAGCTTCTGGAAGTCATGATGCCTTTTGAAAAGGATTGTTCTTTTCACCCAATGCAATGAGATATTAATACGTTTAATTTTCCAGCAGAAAATAACTGTTATCTGTATGCAACATAAAGTCACACCTACAAGAACAAGCATCCACACACACAAAAAAAAAACACCCAATATTAAACCAAATGTGATCAGCTACTTACAAGTTTCAGATTAATCTGTATTTACTATTTAATTCTTTGGTGCATTCTTGTTTTCTTAAATTAGACAAACAATGGTTTACTGAAAAAATGTAGGAAAAAATCAAATTGTAGTAAATTTCTTGATTAGCATAGCTTTCTGCTAATTGGAAATGTGGTCCAGCTCTCAGAAGAATAATGGCTATTATCTATGGAGCACTCACATGTGCCAGGCACAGTACCAAGCCCTTTGCAAATATTATATCCTTTAAAATGCTCATAGCAACCCAGTAAGGCCCTTTTCATTTTTATACTTGTGGAATCTGAGGTAGGGGACGGGGAAGGGACTTTTCCCAGGGGACACAGATAGTAAGATACAGAGCTTGGATTTGAACCTAATTCTTATCTGTTATTCCCACTTGCAGTGGGCAACAGGCCATGCTCTTAATAATCATTCTCTCCAGGCCCACGGAACCCTGGGATTCTTTGGAAGCCCAAGTTGATAGACATTGGCATATGAAAGCTCATGCTAAAAAGCAAAAAAAAAAAAAAATGTTTTAAAGGGATAGAGATCTAATACAGAAGAAGTGCCACCTTTAGCAGAGTTCTAGGACTACACAGGGTCTAATGATGAGGAAATGAAGAATCAGAGGAGCCCGAAGACCCAGGTGTCTTTTCCCTTGAGTTCGACTATTGTGAACAATGTTTCACACAGTCATGCATCCAAGTGACAAAGGCAAATGATCATATGTGCCAGCCAAGGTAGACATGGATTTCACTTATTTTCTTCCTTAAGGAGACAATGGTTAATTACCAAAAAATTCTGAATTTGGTAGACTGCCAAAAAGGGAATTGGAGAAAGACCGAGATCCATCACTGAAGAGCCAGAAAGCCCTTATCTTGCCATGTGTCTAACAGTAACTTCACTCCAGAGTACCTGCTGTGTGCCAGTCAGCTTACCAACCTCCCCTAGTCCACCAACAACCCATCAGATGGGTAACATTATCATCCCGATTTTACTGTTTAGGGACCTACCACTCAGAGAAATGAGATAACTCATCTAAGACTCCACATCTAGTAAGTGGCCTGGCCAAGGATCTATACTCGGTTCTCTCTGACGTCACTACGCTCCTCACATCCTATGTCGCCCCAACATGTTGGCGAATGGCAATTCCCTGGAATTTCAAGGAGCATCACTATTTCTGTTTGTGGCGAGACCTCAAGACACTGCTGATTTCTATTATTTCTCATAATCAACTACTTCCCCCTCCCTGAAACAGAATGAAATCCCTCAAACACCTACTAAATGTTTTACATAATTTATACCATTTAATCTTCCCATCAGACTCATGAGGTAGATATTAATATCATCACCATTTTGCAGGCAAGGAAATAAAGGGATTGTGGTGACTAAAATTTCATAAGAGTGAGAGACAGAATGGAATTTGAACCCAGGCCAGCTAACTTCAAAGCTGTGAACTTGGCATTTAGCACACAGCTCTGCACAGCTAGAGTGAACAATGGTTATTCTTCCCATTACACAAGCTAAGGACAAGGGATCAGTGCCTACAAGCAGGATAACAGGACTGCTAAGTCTGGCTTACCAACCAATTTCCAATGCACTCAATGTCACTCTCTATTAAACCTAATTATGCAATACGTAGGCCTCCAAGTATATAAATACCCACTTATTTATTTTGCTGACTCAAGCCTTCCAGCTAACTGCGTTGTCTATGAACTAGGGGATGCCGAAGGAAGTGGAAGAAGTCAATATTACTAACATCATCAACAGCTCCATCTCCAGCTTTAAACGGAAGATCAGCTTTGCCACCATTGAAATTTCCGGTGATAACGTCGACTACAGCAACTTGACTATGAAAACCAGTGACAAGTTCAAGTTTGTCTTCCGAGATAAGATGGGAAGGATTGTTGATTATTTCACAATTCAAAACCCCAGTAATGTTGATCGATATTCCAAACTACTGTTTCCTTTGATTTTTATGCTGGCCAATGTATTTTACTGGGCATATTATATGTATTTTTAAGAGGACATTAAAAATTTGCATGCCATAGGACTTCAACAGAAGGAAATAATGATATAAATGGTATTCTAAGCCAAGTGTGCACCCTAACCCAATGGTGCTAAAAATAACTAAAGTAACAATTTAGCATTTATTATCAAAGAATGGACCCCCCAACCATTATTTAAGCTTGTAGATGTTCCAGCATTACAGAGTCTTGTAATAGAAATATCAACCCATTCCTTTTTTATCTTTACAAAAGACATCCCCATGGAGCCAAGATTACAAGCAGTACTCAGGGTTGGCTGCCTGCTCAGTGGCTCCCTGGCCTGCATTTACCTCATATAAAAAATATGAGAGGGAGGCCATTCCATGTACTGAGTAACCCTCAAGTGGCAGGGGTTGTTTCTGAATTAATCATACATGCCATTTATTAAACCTCTGTAGCGCTTATAAAACGCATTGTTGCCTATTTAGGGAGCAACATTTTCTAGTTTTTTGTTTTTGATTCAAATGAAATGTGGGCCTAAGTCAATTTACTGAAAGTCACTGTATTAACGCAACACCAAGATGAGTTTTTAATACTGCACTTAATACCACAACAGAATTGTCCCCAAATTCCAATAAGTCCTACCACTGAAAAGTCAGATGTAAGTGAAGAAAAATTTAGTGGATCAATAATCTCACACATAAACCCCTTGTTTCGAAGATACAGTGGCTTCCCCAGACTGGAAGGGCTCTGGGGTTTTACTCCCCATTTGACATGTCTTATCCCTTTATCATTATACACATGCCAACCCTCCCCATTGCTGGAGCCCTTTCCCCATATCAGGGATGGGAATGGAGGCTGTTTGGTTTTTGTGTGTTTTTTAGTGATTCTGGAGTCTTCATGTGGACTGTTGCCGTGAAGACTTGCAGTGTTGAGTCCATTTCTATCTGCTGCTCTTTCCCAGCCACAGACCCCTGCGTCCTTCCAGGAGGAGCTTGCCTCCCCAAGCTCTAATGACCAGGAATGATGCTTATTCAATACTGAACTGCATTTCCCAGAAACACATGGGTTAGCACTAGCCAGCGTGGCCACGCTCACTTCCCTGAGCCTTCGAGCTGGACGGCAAGAGCAGGAGAACGTTGGCCCTGGGTCCTGAACTTTCTGAGGAGCAGTGGAACTTGTTACAGAACCTATGTTCAGGCTGCAGGTGAGCCGTCCTTTCCAAGTCCAGCCATTCTCACCCTAAAACAAGAAGCACAGCGCACATCTCTTCCTGCTCCATGGCCAAGTTCAGCCCACAGCATACGTGGCGATGTGCGAGTGTGCCGTGATCAAGGCTTCCAGTTCAGTCTGTCGTTTTAAAGAATCTTGTCATCTTTTAGTTCTTCAGCTTCCTTTTCTAATGAATGTGTGCCTTCACCCCTCCTTTCGGAAATAAACATGGCTTTGGAAGCTCATCTTGCCTCTCTAACCCCCTATACCACAGGCTCTCTTCTTTGCCCCACTATGACGCTTTTCTCACAATTTAGCTTCTATGGGCTTGATCGCCTGAACTTTTAACAAAATGTCTCTCATAGGAATGGGGTCACTGACATGGGTGGAATGTAGTTGTATGGTTCAATTATATTTGTGATTTTTTAAAAAAGGTTTACAAGGAAATATCTTCTTTGAAACCCCATTTAAACATTATCTGAAGAAAACTATAAATATGTGAGACTGTGAAATAAATATAGCACATTAGCTACCCACCAAATCAAGTGGTCATCTATAGATTGATCTTCATTTATTGTAAGATCCTATTTGGAAAAGGTATACATTGTAGTACAAACTCAGTGGTGCACACCTTCTATCCTCATGTTCCCCACCCCAGACAGTACACACACACACACGCGCGCGCACACACACACACACACACACACACACACACACACACACATCTCCTGCCAAGGAAAATAACCATTGGTGACAGACAGTCAATGCCCTTTTCGACCTCACTGCCCTGTAACACTTGCCTTGCAATTAGGCAACTGGGCCCAGTGATATTGAAAGATCCAATTCTCAGAAATTTCACAGATTTCCTTCCAAGCCTTCTTTATTGTTTTGAAACTACCTTCTATTTTTGTTAAATGAGATTTTTATAGTTTGAGAATATACTTTGGGGGGGGGTATTATTGGATTTTGCATCTCTCTGAACTTGATGTGGGCTGTGATATTGGAGTTCCCAGTAAAAATTCCTAATATTCTACATCTGTCTCATGTATCCTACCTACCCAGTCAGTCCCAGGACTCGCTTTATTCAAAATACTTATTTCTAGGGTAAAAACATTAAGCTAACCTTTTGATACAATGGGACTTCCCAAAATGATGAAACCAGGAAGCACTGAGGATATTCTAAGGCATGGAACTATAATTTTTAATTACCTTGATATTAAAAATGTCAATATTCTCAATATAGAAAGTTGTATATAAGTAGGAGGACATTCAATAACAAGTAAGTGACAAGTAAATTTTAAGGGAAAGTCAGGGGAAATGGAGAAATGGGCAGATCAGAAAAGAGCTAGCAATCACAGTAGACCACCAGCTGAAAATGAGTGGGTGACACAGGGGAGTTCCACTAGGAGAAAAAGTACAGGGTGGGCTTTAGTGCCAGACAAGTAAGGGGACAATCGTAGTCAGGGAGAGTGTGACAACCAGGATTGAGGCGTGTTCCTTCTTCAATGGTGTGCATTACTCTTACACAGAAAGAGTTCTTCTAGGCTGCTGGCCCATAGTCCATTTTGATCAGTCCAGAATACATTTACTGCCAAATATCTTTGCTTCTTAATATACATTTTTAAAATTGAGTCTTAAAAAATAAACTTAAAAAAATAAAATTGAGTCTTAACAGACAGGGAATTATACCTCAATACTAGTATATAGTCAGTGTAATGTATGTGTTGTACCAAGGACCTTAACGAACAAAAGAACATTTGAATACATGCCTCATGTTTCCGAATAATTAAAAAATATACATATATAATGCACATCATTTTTAACAGTTTTTGTAGAAAATTTAGACATATATATCATACTGTAGTTTATTTGGGTTGAAACACACCGTGTCCAATTTTGACCATTATGCTTTTGAGAAGGATGTGCAAAAATTGGAAAAGAGTCCAAGAAAAATGACAGAAGTGATTAAAATAATGGAAAACGGGTCCAATAAGAAGATTTTGTGCCCTGAAAAGCAAGGCTAAGTGATAATGACTGCCATTAAAAGGTTCCAGAAAGGTTTTGTACAAGGGACATGCTGTTCTTCTCTTCACTTGAATAAGTGAACTGAATAAAAGGAAACAGACAAATGAACTCAGAGCAAGTCTCATTGTTTAGAAGGAAGAAAATGTGCAAGTCGAATAACGAAATGCAGTTGAATAATGAACAAGTCAGATAAACTTCGAGTCTCCATCTGGAAATTCCCCATGAGGATACACAATCGTGTCTCCCCTTGATTTCGCCACCCGCATGCCTGAAAGCAGATGGCTCGATTCTGCCAGGCGACCTTGGGAGGCGTAGATGCAGGGAGACCCCTCTGGCTGCAGAAAATGAAAGTGTCATACCAAGTACTGCTAACCGAGAAATGGATGCCTACTGATGTTCCTGGTGGCCCACAGAGTGGTGTTCCATAATTATGCCTTTTGGGGGGGACTTGAAGGGGAGTCACGTGACTCACAGCTTTCAGTGACTTGGGTGTGAAGTAGGCTTTGATCATGCCGTCTCATCACTTACAATTGTGCCTTTCCAGAAATCAGAGAAGACACAACCCCATCTGGAAAACTGGAGAGGGGAACAGGACATAAAAAGTGAGTTAGCTGCTGCATGTTGAGCCAGTGTCTCTGTGATCTGTGAGGACATCTGCATCTGCAAGCCAGTTATCTCTTCTTCTCTAAACCCCGACTAGAGCCAGGACCTAAATGGTCTTGGAGGGGTGGGTGGTCCATACCCTACATTCCTGGCCTGCTTCCTAAAGGGTGTCCCAAAATTCACGCAAGAAGTAATTTTGATAGAAAACACAGGTTTATCATTAAAAATTGTAAATGTT